TGCAAGCTAGAACTAGAATAGATTAACCCACCTCTCCCTCCCTGGGTTGGCCGAATGTCGCACTATCACACGGGACTCACATCCCGCGGGACTGCCTCATTCGTGCCTTGGTTCCCGCTCGGGATTCTAGCAATCACGAGCGGCACCCCTGGGTTGCGGAGACGGTCGGCTCAGTAAATGGCCGAGTCTCTCCACCACCCTATCCTACTACTCTACTCAACTAGTCGTGCTGTGCTGCTCTAGGCGAGCGCCGCTTGTCGGCGCTCGTTGAAAGAATCGAATCGAATCATTCGAGTCGAGTCGAGTCAGTCCCACTTCTGCAAACCAGCATGTCCAAAAATATTTCTAACTAAAAGTAAATGTAGGGGTCTGGCGTCTCTGAGCGTAGCTATTTTTAGAGTATTTGTACAGAGCTGGCCATCGGTACTACACCAGTGTAGTACCATAGTACAGTACCGCTATCCGGATAGGTGGGTGGCTGTGACGATGAATCTCAATGGCAAATTTGATCATTGGCTGCACAGAACGACGGTGGTACACCCATCTCCAATCCAGCCCCCAACCCAAATCGACTTGAACTAATGGAGTATGCATTCATCAGCTCCTCGTGAGGTTAGGCAATAGGTCAACACAGTGGTTGCTCTGCTAGATAGCCAGTAGCGGACGTGAATAAGGCAACTAAATACCGGTACAATCATGTAATGTAGCTACTGGCGAGGTAGACGACCAACCAAAATCTACTTTCCGTCAGCCAGTGATGGCACCGGGGTGGTCGACGCTCTTGTACGAGTTAGCGAAGTACTCGACGTTTCTGCATGGTAGTTATGTGTGCATTCAGCATTCAGCGACAAGAGCCGACGAAAACAGAATTCTCTGAGCTGCCATCGAGCGAAAAAGAAGGATTGCATCATTCTCTGTGGAAGAAGTTTCCTTGGCGAGGGGAGAACAGAGAAAATTCATGGGTTGCCAGAGCCATTTCTATGCAATCGGGCAGCCAGTGGGCATCTAGCTAGCAGTGTGCATGGATGTATGGGTGGATGCTCGGCCGGCCGGGCCACCCACCCCCGGGCCCATCCCCCTTCAAACGACGAAATCAATTGTCAAGTGCTGGTATGCAATCTCACCCCAATCGGCATCCAGCCAACCATGATGTGATGGTACCTGCTATGAAGCCCGATGAGTGCGAAAATGTCCAGGTTGGCCTTGGCTTGGTATCGAGTAGACCTGTTGGGGTGAATGAGCTAAAGACTGTTGTTTAAAACAAGCCAGATACTTGCTTAACATAGACAGGCAGGTTAGCTAACTTGGTCCTTTGTGAGTTTGTGGAGGTCTATCTTGGTCCGAAACGCAATGCCATGACGCCGACTGCTACCCAAAAGACTCTAGAGCCTGCATGTCGGTATCTACGGGCCATCCTGGTATTTCACTGCCAAGAAGCTCTAGTAACTAGAACAGGGACTCCGCACTGCCACCCTGTAGCTTTCGTTCACAGCATGTTTGCCACCGTTCTACCAGCTGCAGTACCCCCTCCAGTACCAGGCCTGCATTTGCCGTGATATGGAACCCTCTGGCCTTACTACGTCCCTCATACGTTGCCATGTAGTGCGCAACTTCCTCTGTCATATTCGTGTTGCCAGTATACAAGGACATGTGATAGTGCCCTGTTGCCATGGCCAAGGTTCCGAAATACTTGGGAGTATAATATCCCATAGGGAAAAGCTCCATCAAGCCTCCACAAGCAGGCAGGAATGGCAAACCAGTAAATTGAGCACCATGAGGGCCAATGAGAATGTCAACTTTGGACATGAAATCCACCTGCCCCCAAAAGTTCAGCCCATCAAAGGAGGACCGGTAGTGAACCAAAGGTTGCTCCCTATTCTGCCAACTTGATGTTGTGTTTAGGGCTTGCACTATCTCATTGTGATTTTCCACATGACGGCTTCCCTCGCGGTTCAAGAACCCAATCACAGGAAGCCTTGATGTGCTGTCGGCTGGACATCCTGCTTTTTGTGCCTCTGGATTGGGGTTTGGCTGTTTTGCATTGTCGTAGTTCTCTGGTAGCAATTTGAGAGTTTCATTCCGTAGTATAGCAGCATCTTCGGGTTTATATACCTCAAAGGAGAGTCTTGTAACGTCGTTTGGTTGTTTGGGATCCTTGCGCATGTTGATATCGCAGAAAACATACTTGTCCGAGCCAATGGCGGAAAATCCACGCAACGTGTGGACAACCTGTACCCCAAAGGCTTTCTGGAATACCCGTATCAATGTCTTGACAAAGGCCGGGCGATGGCTCACTGGCTCTCGGTCCTCGATGTACAAAACTGGCGCTTGATGTGGATTGGCTTGCCACCAGGAAACACACCGAATGAGCTCTTGAGAGGCATGAGGGAAATGCTTGCCAAATGGAGATATCACCCACTTGCAAATGGCATGACTTTGATTGGCAGCAGGAAACACCAGTTGGAATTCACCGGTACTGTTGTGAGTAGTATTGTTGTTGTGGCGTTTTTGAAGGTAGGGAGCTGCAGGGCCTCGAAACAGGTCTGGCAACGATGACGCCCGGGGGTAGATACCTTCCTGAAGCAAACCGTCCTCCAAGTCATGAGCATGAGCTCGTGCCAGGGCTTGTGCACGTTCCTCAAACAAGAGTTGTCGATTTCGTTCGTCTCTTTCCATGGTATGCTGTTGGGCATGAGGATGATTGGAGGGAAAGATGGAAACAACACGATCCTTTGGTATATAGTCAGCCACAACACTGGTGTCTCGACGATGACTGGAAGAACCAAGGGCAAACTGAAGCATTCCAGAGGCCCTGAACGCAACCAACAATGATAAAGTCCACACTACCAAAACCAGGAATATCAAAGATGAAACCGTGCCATGGCGAATCTTTCGAGGGATCCACGAAGCTTCTGTCATTGCTAGCTAGATCTGTTCTCGTTACCTTATCAGAGGGAACCCAAGTGAAATAGTGGATTGATGGATAGATGGCAGTCTCAGGGTAAATACAAGTGGTAACGCTGCTCAGCGTTGAATGGTTGCTATGTGATTAGTGCTGGCTATCTCTAGCTAGAGAAGCGAATTTGTTGTGCGAATCGTTGCATCGTGAGTCGGTACCAGTACACACCAGCTGGTACTAGTACCCATCTTCGTCGTTCACAAGAGTTCTAAGAACTCTTGTGAACGTCAATGAAAACGCGAAAGGGGTCTCAAGAATCGAATCGCGCCAAAAACAAGAACTCAGTTCTTGTCAATGAAAACGCGAAAGGGGTCTCAAGAATCGAATCGCGCCAAAAAAAGCCCTTCCGCGACTGGCTCATTTATTGGGTTTTTTAATACGTGGACTCACAGCTCACAGACGACGCAGTTCGCTTGCAAAACAAGTATTATGGTCTTTTTCGGATACTACAGTAGCCATTATCGATGGCATTGTCGATCAAGACCTTCTGGATTTCGCAAAGGCTTTGGTTTTGGATGTCGCATACTCGTACTCGTACTGAGGTTATCGACGTTTTTAGATGAAGCAAGAAGCAAGTATACGAAAAAGTAACAGATGATACAAGTAGGATGAATGATCTTATGAATGCATGCATGCATTTGCTTTTTGTAGGAAGATAGCTATTAGCCATGGAGCTCGCAGTCTTCCGCCTGGGGTCGTTCCATCCACTCCAGCCGCGAGGAATGTCGATTGGGCAAATATCTATATATATATATATATATTTCCAGAAGGATGACCTCTGTGATGTATCAAGAGGTCAGAGTTCCTGCAGATCAAAATCTCACAGCTGGCTAGTAGCTAGCTAGCTAGCAAGTGACAGCAGCTAGCGTGCATGTAGCTACGGCACTTACGGTACCGGACGTAAAATACTGTGTTGATAGACAGTTAAGTTCCCGTGAGAAGAAGAGATCCTTCGTTTGCTAGCGCTGGTTCGCTCTCTAGCTAGCTAGCTAGCAGCCACTGCGAGTGGTGTCTTGCGCGCGGTTGAACGAACGTGAATGGTTTGCTTGCTCTGTTCCGGTGGGGATGTGCAGCACTCACGGTTGAACTGACTGACAGCCTTGTGTGAATTGATTGTGGAAGATCAATGTATCTACAGGTATCTATCTATCGAGTGGTGCCACTGCCACCTCTCCTGGGATCTCGTGTCCCTTCCATTTGAATCCGTTCGAATCGTTTTGTTCTCCAAGCTTCGTCTTCTGATTTCCAATGCAAGCAAACTCCGGGTGTGGTGGGCGACCATAACAGACATTCGTCATTGTCCTCTACGTCTTCTTCTTCTGTTTGTTGTTGTGGTTCTTGGTCCAGTCCTACCGCCCGCCGTGCAGCAATTTCTCCCTTTCCCGATGCGGCCAATGTCTTGGTGTAGGCTCCCCGAAAGGTCCGATGATGGTACATGTCCGTAATGTGATGGGCGACTTGGTAGTCGCTCAATCCCACTCGTTCGCAGGCGGCCAATACGGCCGGTGTCCGGTAGTATTGTCGAAAGTACAAAATGGCCGACCCCAACGCCGACAATAACCCCGTTTGTCGAAATCCTTCTTGAAACGCCGTTTGGGTCGTTGTGCACAACAACTCCACCGCCAAGGTTCCATTTTGAGCAAATGCTGTCTGACTCTCCAAGTAGTCAGCATGTTCTTCTGTAGTACATGTAGTATTGTCATTGTCTAGTAGTAGAATGCCCGCCTGCCGTTTGTCCTCGTCCGTCATTTCCCATTTGATGCCGTAGCGCTGTTCTTGATCGAATTCCACCATGGTCGTTTCGACAAAGTCTTGCATTTCGGCCACAATAAAGGCCGTCAAACCGACTTCACCAAACAACAGACGATCCTTGTCGGATTCCGACAATCGCGCTTGATGCAATCGGCAGGACGATCGTTGATGAGGAGAATAAATAATGTGGAGTTTCGTAGTGCTGGTGGTCGTCATGATCCAGCCATTGGTTCTTCTTGGGAATACTACTACTACTAAAGCGAGTAAGAAGAGTAACGACCACCAAGATCCAATGAAGGTCCACATGGTGATGGCTCGATTGTCTCGAGAGATTGAATTCGTAGAAGTTATAAACGTCAACAGTGAGATGCTAAATTGTAAGATTGTCATCAGGGATACTGAAGGTGAAGGGCATGTAAAACGTTAACCCTAGTGCGGTGTCATAGGAAGGCCACATCAGTTCAAGAGCTGGTTAAGGTCTGGCCGTCGCTACCCCAAGATCCAGCTTTGTTTTGCCTTAAATTTCGCCATTTCAGCTTTTTTTGCTTTAAATTTCGCCTTTGGGCCAGGTAAACACGATTTTTTAATGAAATCGACCAGAATTTGCCCAACCACGGCCAGACCTTAGACGGCAAATCCTTCATTTTGAACAGATGTGAGGCACGAGGCAACAGAACTGTGGCTTGATGGGTTGACTCTGTCAATCCCAGTAAATTATATTTAGAATACTCACTTTTTGCTGCAATTGATAAAGCCTCAGTCAGAAGTACATGATGTAGTCACGGTTTCTTTCTTGTCATGTTTCCTCTTCCTTCACCAACTTGCTGAACGATCTGCTGCTTCGGTTTAATCAATTGACCGGTCCACTGCCTTCTGAGCTTGGGCTCCTGACCTCACATCACCTCGACCTTTATGGAAGTCAGTTGACTGGTCCACTGCCTTCCGAGCTTGGGCTCTTGACCTCATTGGGATTTTTTGACCTTTTTGGATGCTGGTTGAGCGGCCAAGTTCCTTCTGAGGTGGGGCTCCTGCCTGACTGGTCTGGCTTTCCCTATCTGCCAATCAGCTGACCAGTCCGATTTCTTCAGAGTTGGGCCAACTGACCTACCTGGTTGAATTTTCTATACCTTGATGATAATAAAATAAAATAAAATCAAAGTCTATTAACGGATTCAGACAAGCTGTGCTTGAGGACGACCCACGAGCCGAGGCCCGGGTATTTCCCACAGTCATGTCCGCTCACCGGCCACATGCGCCCCGGAGGGTGTGCAACTGCTTTATGCGATCTAAATGAGTAAACTCCATGGCTACACCACTGGAACCATAGTGAATGCTCATTCTAAGTGTTGAAAGGTGGCGGTCTTTCGTGAGCACAAGGGAACTTGAAATGATAGAAGTTGGAGGTAGGAGGTATACCTTGATGATAATCAGTTCACTGACCCAGTTCCCATGGAGCTTTCGCTTCTGATCAAACTGCGAAACCTAGACTTGTGCTCATACAGGCACGGCCGCTGCGAGACTGACGGCCTGCCGGGAGATGGGACGAGGCCGAGGAGCGTCTGCAGCGTCTGCATCCACTGGCTGCCATTATCTCCTCAACTTTCGGGATGGCAGGTGTTGGGTGCGGAAGTAGGGTCGCAGAGCAAAGCCACCACCAGGACAACTCCAGCAACAATTGTCCAGGTGCACAAATTGTGAGCTAATTTAATAAAAGATTAAGAAAACGTACTACAAATAGCACTGGTGCCTATCCTCGACAGTCGCCACCAGCATGTAGGGGCTCTGCAATAGCTCAGCGAGTCGTGCTTCCAAAGTATGGTCGCACTAATCGAATGTTGATGGGCTCGATGTAGTTCCTTCGCTGAATATGAAGAGTTCCTGATGCTTTGTTGAAACTCACTACCTTGAAAGGGCCAACGTTGAGTTGCATCTTCGGATCCATCGAACTGCTCTTGATCAGAACGTGATCACCCTTCTTGTAGTTATGGGCAATCCTTCTTCGGTTCTCTCGAGTGTTGTTCACTTGGATCGCTGCTTCTCTGCGTTGTCAAACACGTTCGACGTCCGCTTCCATCTTAGTCCTCAGAATCATATCTCTCTGGTAAACCAGTTGAGATGGTGAATACTTGGTCACTCTATGGACAGTTGCTCTCGTAGCATAGGCCGCTGCACTTGTCAGATCCTTGATGGGATCTTCCTTGAGGTGCTTGGTTGCAATCTGGACACGAAGCATGTCTCCTAAGACTTTGTGCATTCGCTCCACAATGGCATTCGCTCTTGGATTCTTCGCAGTGATTGGTTCTGGCTTAACGAACCATCGGGTACATGTAGCATGAAAACTTCTACAGTCAAACTCGCCACCTTGATCAAAGATAACTCGACTTGGTCGTGGATACCGTCGTAGCCACTCCTGAATGAATAGGTCCGCAATCGTCTCACTCTTCTTGGTCGTGATTGGAATGATCTCGGGCCATCCAGTGAAAACATCAATGATCGTCAGGGTATGAAAGATTACTTCCTTGTTGTCCACCGTTGCTTTCCACGGTCCGGAAAGGTCCACTGCCACGTCCTTCCATGGCTCGGTCTCTGGATCTTTCAATGGAATCTTACCGTAACCTCGCATTCCTCGCTTACCTAGTTGGCATGCATGACAGCTCCTAATGTAGGTCCGAATCTGTTCTAACATCTTCGGCCACGTGTAATGTTGTCGTAAAGTATTGTACAGACGGTTCACTCCGGGATGAACTAGAGTGGTGTGATACCACTCCATCAATCGTTGAGTCAATGCCGCCGGCACAATGATGCGGTGGTCTCCATCTACCGCATCTGTCTCAGTGATGACCCTGTCAGGTCCGCTCTTTCTTCCGATGTCTTCGAAGAACTCACCAAGACGGTCTGGTGCTTGCTGCCTGAGGGTTTGCACATATTTCATTATTGTCTTTCTGTGCCCTTACTCGTTAGAGGTGATAGATTGCTCCATGTTCGCGGATTCATTCCTCGAAAGCCATCCACCACGCCGAAGCCTTCTTCTCGTCTTCCTTCTCACTTCCATAGAGGATCCTAGACTCTGCATCCGCCACACATTCTTTTCTCCTTCCGATATAGGATGGTGGTGATTAGTCTTGAGCACGCCGTCACCGCGATGCGGCGGTGTCTGGATCCATTCTGTGTCGTATAAGTGTCTGGATGCACTAACCATCATGTCCCAGACTCTTCCGGCTTCACATGCCATTCCTTTTCTCCGCCCACATGTTCTCTGTGCTCCGTCACCTTCTTCGAAAGAATGCACTTTCTTCTTCACTTGCTTGAGCATCTCCCAATCTGCTGTCTGATTGCATCCCGTGTAGGGATCGCGATGTGTCCGGAAAGACAAGAGACATCCTTGCGACTATTCGTTTCATCAAGTACTGAGACGCGTCTCATCCATGCATCTTATCTCAGACCTCAGTCACTGGGAGGTGCACAGATGCATCTCACTTGATCGAAGTGTCATATCTTATCTTCGTAGCTTCGTTTTCTTTGTTTCCCTATCTGATGGCCGAACTCCTCTGGCCTGTCGCTTGGTCATTCTCGCGTAAGGCTCCTAGTGTCATTCCTCACTGCCAGTTGACCTTGCTTCACCGCCACAGTTCTTCAATCGCCTCAGCCAGAACTCTCAAATCGCTCATAGTTCCGTTTGTGAATATCACAGGTGTCAATGTCTACCTACGAAGGATCCGCACAGCTTCGCATTCTTCTGAAACTCGGTATGCTCTCCCGGTATCCCGACTTGTAACGCTCAATCTCTCTCTT